GTGCTGCGTGTGTGGGCTGGCAGCACTGGGGCTGCCGACACAACAACGGGCGCTCTCGGCTCTTTACTTTTGGGCAGTTCGGGGTCGCTGGTGGAGGGGTGAGGGGCATCCCCTCAAGGTTTTGATCTGGTACTGTAAGTAACAGCCCTGGGGAAAAGTAAGATAACAAAGTTTATAACCTCTTGGAAATACTTGATTTCTGTGCTCTTGGATGTCTGCAAAAACAAGATCCAAGAGGACTGCAGTTAACAGCGGGAGGGTGTCATCTGTGTTTCTCAGTCGACAAGTGTGACAAATGAGCCTTGTTTAAGCTCCTGAATGTTTCGTATGAAATAGGTAACTGCAGGCACTGTGCAAGTGTGCTCCTGGCTACAGCATTACATACCCTGTGTGTTGTGAACCAGCTTGAAAAATCTCCATTCTGAATCAAACCTCACTCACATGATAGAATTCTGAAAAAATACTTTCAATTGAATCCAGGTTTCAGTCTGGCCTTGAAACTCTGGGTCAATGCTGTTGTAATCAGCGTGGCATCTAGTGCATACAAGCAAGGGTTGTGGTCAGCAGCAAGCTCTGTGGAGATGATTTTCCTCTTGAAATGGAGCTTTCTGGGTCCAGAGATCTGCACGTGTTGGGTCTGAGCAAAACTAAGGCCAGTACAATACAGTGAATGTGTCACAAGGATTTTTTATTTTCAGACACTTGCACAGCACAAGTATTTTCTACCTTTCCTTATAACAGAACCTGCCCTATCTAAGAAAAAGCCAAAGTTATTATATGACAGTCTAAAATGTTAGCTTGGATACACAGATGAAACTCTGCTGACACACCTCTGAGGAGGTGAAGGCTCCTTGATTCAACTGTAGTGTCTTGTCTTTAGCCAAAAGCTGTTTTCTGCAGAGCCTGGGGAATGGCTAATGGCATGAGACTGTGGGTACTGTATGATTATTTTTTGTGTGCTTGTTCTAAATTCATATAGTAGGCATCTGCTCGTGCTAAATCTGTGATTTATTCTAGATTTAGATGTCTCAATGGATACGTGGAACTTCTTCTATACTTGCCTGGTTTCCTTATGGCTGCACAGATTTTACATCTATTTTGCTGTTGTTTTTGGAATCAGCATTTGGATTATGATTCAGTTCACCACCACCAAAACCAAAAAGAAGGTAACTGAACGTGTAAGCACTTTTGTCTGAGATGACCCCAAAAATCTGCGTGTGGAAGTAAGTAGTTGCCGGGTAAAGGTACCCACCGGTGCAGTGAAATGTGCTACTTTGCTGTGGACCCACCTAGATTGTTGCAAATCCCAAGTGTAATTTAGTTCATCTGGTGGTTATAATCCTCAGTCTGGATTGTTTTATGTTTATGGGTACCTAAATGCCCTCGTTGCTCTGATGTTTGAGCAGATCTCAGCTGAGCATTTCTCACTTTGTTATTGAGAGAATGTGTCAACCTGGGTTGCTCTGTCACTTCAAGTGAATTGCTCTGCTTGTGCCCAGTGTTTTCACATTCATGTTTCCAGTGATGTTAATGACAAGGTTGGACTGGTTTTAGGATGGGAGTGGGATTAGGCCATTCAGGAATTTAAAACCTCCTCATGTGGGTGAGTGAAGTTCTGCACAAGTTGGGAATCTCTTGGGTTCAGCTGGATCCTGTTACCTCCCTGGTGTGTGAGATGAGTGTATTGCAGCGTGGCCTAGCTCAGAGAAATAGTTAGTTGTGTGTTGCTCTAGGTGTGAGAGAAACTAAAATGCTTTGATTGTTGCATTTGTGTGGTGCTGAGACTGGTCACAGGATTTGAATTTTAAGTGTTTTCAGGAAAATGGGGTTAACGTCACTTTGAAAAGGGATTGAATGTGACACAGTGCTTGTTTCGTAGGGTGAAAAATCCAACGGGAATCCCACTTCTGAAGGAGCAGAAGACAAACTGGTAAATGGATATACCACCCTGCAGGCAAAGGAGGTCTATGTTGCTGGGGTAAAGATTTTCTATGGGTCTCAGACTGGCACAGCAAAGGTATAAGTTACTTTTTTTTTTCCACGTATGTGAAGTTGATTTGAAATATTGTTGAGATTCAAGTATGTTGCTTGCCTTAGAAGCATTGCACTGTGTAAAAAGCTGAAAGTTCATCAGAAAGTTCATTAGCTCATTAGAAGTCATTGCCCAACATGAAAGATAAATGAAAATTATAGAAGAATAACAGTTTTTCTACCCCCTTTAAGTGGGGCATGCAGTAGACACATTAATTTGCTAGCAGATTGTCTTCAAGAGAAGTGCTGTTTTGGTTGCTTTCTCTAAAAGAAATTTAAGTTGTGTGTGTAAATATAAAATCATTAGTCATTAAAATTCATGGAGTGCTCTTCTTTCAGCTGGTATACTTCATGGTTTTTTTTAATGTGAGGAATCATGGGTCCAGTGTCCAGTTCTCGTGTGTCATTGCTCTGTCTGTGCTGGGAGAAGTCTTGTGAATGGGCATAGCAGGGCTTGTTGGACCCTTATGATAATTAAGTTGAAGTAATTGATAACTTTCTCCATTTCTTTTTTCAGAGATTTGCTAAAGGTCTGGCTGAAGCAGTCATTTCCCTTAGTTTGCCTGTGGAAGTCATTAGCATGGGAGACTATGACCCAGATGATTGTTTATCAGAGGAGGTAGGTATGTCATAAATATGAATAATAAATACAAGTTTTTTCCTGGGGTTGTGAAGACCGTTTTCTCTTGTATTTCTCTCCTATTTTCCTGGAAATCCCCAAAGCTGCGTGTTGCAAATTGCTTCCCTTCTATGTAAGCAAGTATAGCCCATCAACCCTCCACAGAAAATACCTAAATTTTGGATATTACTAGGAAAGGATCACGTAGAATATTTTGATGCTGACAGTGACTTTGTGTGAGCTAGTTCTGTAACTCAGGTGTGAGTTACATCAGAGTGGCTGCACCAGGTCCCCCTGTTCTGTCTGTGACAGTGTACACCTGGGGAAGGGTTCAAAACCAGAGTAAGTGTGTGGTGATACTTCTGCAGGTGCCATAGATTCATAAATTAGAAACTTCTTGTGAGGTGTATTTATATTGAGTAGTCCTTGATGGAGTTTTCTTCTGTGAATATTGGTAGTTGCTTTTTGAATCCGTGGGAAACTTCTAATTGCTGCAGGAGTCTGTTCAAGAAGCTGTTGATCGGGGTGGAGAAGGTAGATGTCCAGCTCTGTTTTACCAGTGTGTCTCTGTTAAGTAGGGGAAAGACAGCTTAATGTCTCTTGGCTAATTTAAGATGGCTTTGCAGGGAGGATGGCCATTCACCGCTGTTGGGATTATCACCTGCAGCATCCCACACCAAAGACTGTTAACTCACTTAACAAAAATCTTGTCTTTTGGCTTCTTCCAACTGCCCATGTATTACAGCTCTCTTCCTGATGTGAAGTGTTCTGGAAAATGCAGTGATCTTTTCTATTCTGTTCTATTTATATTATTAGACAACCAGCAGGAACATTTGTGTGTTCTTGGTAGCTACATACACAGATGGTCAACCAACCGAGAGTGCAGCGTGGTTCTGCAAGTGGTTAGAAGAAGCTGTGAATGACTTCCGCTTTGGGAAAACGTATCTGAAAGGCCTGAGATATGCTGTGTTTGGCTTGGGAAACTCAGTCTATGTTGATCATTACAACACAGTAAGTATCTTCTCTGCAGCTTTGATTTCTGCTCCTCGGAGAGGCTAAGCTTTCTTAAATGCTACAAAAAGGAACGATACTGCTAGTTGGTGTGAAGATTGCGGCTGTTGTGCGGACTTGATTAGGGTTTGGGTTTAGAGCATTGGCAATGCAGCTTTGAAATGATTGTGCTGCCCTTTTAAATGGGAAAGGAGTTCCATAAGCACTGCGTTGGTCTGGGAGGCACGGTAATGTATTTGGTAAATCCTTATTGAATTAGTTTCCGAGCTTTGAAAGCTTTCAATGCATGAGGGCACAGTACTGTAAACCCTCTCACTTGCTGCCTTTTAGTTTAAAGTGCTTTTCTCGAACTTACGTACTTTGCTGTATTGTGTGTATTTTAGCTTTATTTCCCGATGTAAAATATGGCAGTATCTTAGCCTGGTAATTAGTTTCATCTCAATCAGAAAAATAGCATGACTTGTCACCAGGTTGTTACGTTTGTACAGCTGGGGCCACATGAAATGTTACGCATGTGGACATTTTGACCAGCAACATCACACAAAGCAGCCTGTTCCCAGAGCTCATCTCTTACCACATCGGTTTGATAGCAGACGTATTTTGAAATGGGAGCTTGAGGGTGTGTGGTGGTGTTCAGACTGCCTTGTGTCTGTGCTCTGAGTCAGCAGGTGAGAGGGAGTCCAGAGATCCCTGCCCTGTGGTCCTGTGCGACTCGGTCGCTCTATTTCCAGGCTTCGTCCTTGCTTTTAATTGCCTGCTGTGTTTAACTTGAGCTCTAACTTTCATCCTAACCTAGGTTGGAAGAAATATTGACAGGTGGCTGTGGATGCTCAGTGCCAGCCGTATCATGACTCGTGCCGAGGGGGACTGTAATGTGGCCCAGAGCAAGCATGGCAGCATTGAAGCTGACTTTGAAGCCTGGAAAGTCAAGTTCCTCAGTCGACTTCAGGCGCTCTGCAGAGGGGAAAAGAAGCCCTGCGATGGGAAGTGCAAGAAAGGGAAGTGCAAATCTCCGGGGAAGCAGAGCAAGGAGAGCTCAGATCATCAGCGTGGGGCATCAGAATACAGGAATACTGAGGTAAGGCTAAAATCTGTGGGACCTTATTTCTGGTTTAGTGCCCTTTGGAGCCCTATTTGACTTATCTCCTTCCTCCTACAGCCCAGAGGGATCTTGTGGGAGCTGGATACTTCCTTCTTCTGGAGCAGAGCAGGAAGAGGGATGAGATCCCATGGCAGATAACAAGTAGAATAAGCCATCCAAAAAGAAGGACCAAAGAATTAGTGATGGAACTAAGCTAGATGGCATTTATATGATGAGGGAGTCTTCCTCTTGAGTAGGGGAAGGTATATGTTGTGACAGATGCTCAGGGAGCTAGTCTGGGTTCTCATCAGAGTCTTTGCTTTGTCTCATGGCCAAGTGAAGCATTTAGTTCCCAGTGAGCAGTTAACTTGCTTCCACTTCACCCTGGTGAAGCTTAGGTGCTTTGCCTGTGTCCCAAGGCTTTTCCAAAGGCAATTGGAGTGTTATCTGAGCAAGTCCTGTGTTTCTTCTGATTATGTCTGCCTGTAATCATTTGTGTGTCTTCTGGAGTGTTTGTTGATTGCAGGTTTTAAATAAGAAATCCTCTCTTGCTCTGCAGTGCAAGACCCAGAGCTGCTATGGCGCTTTAATCCTCCCTGCAAACCATTTGTTGTGCGTTGGAAATGATTGCTATGGTCATGTTGAATTTTGTAGGAAAATAGGGGCTTTTCTGGTTGAGTGGGTTTGAGAGTACTGGCTGTTGCAGGAGCAAGAGGAATAAATCTTGCTGTTAGACCAGTACTCTTGTACACAGCCAAGGCACAGCACAGAAAGGGAGACAACTGTTCTGCTCTGTGAAGAGTTTGACTTGAAAAGCAGATCTTTCCCTCCCTGTTCATTCAGCCAGGGCCACTTGGAGGACTTAAAAGGGTTTAGGCTTCCAGATCAGAGAGTATGCAGTGGGAGTTAGGCTCCTCTGTATTGCTTCTTACGTGATCAGGCAGGCACATGAGGAAAACAGAGCAATCTGGGGGCGGGATATCTGGACTGAGTTTCAGGCAGTCTGTGTGCTGCTGAACTCTTAAAAATGCACACTGATAAAAGCCCCAAGTTTAAATGCACCTCATACGTAATAGAGGTTATTGGTAGACTCTTCCTTGTTTTTCAGTAGTCTTTACTGATTGTGAGAGCTGATTTCACTGGTTAGCATAGATGAAGGTCTTATGTTTAACATTCAAATACATTCCTAATTTTTTTTCTCTGATCTCTTACACAGGCGGAGTTGTTTGAAACCAGTAGTGAGGAGGAGGCTGATGCTGCGGAAGCTGGCGGCACAAATTCTGTTGTCGATGTTGAAGATCTCGGCAATATCATGAGCCACATGAAGAAAGCGAAGGTACTGCTATAGAACTGTCAGATCTTTGTCGCTGATCAGTTGAATTGAATGAAATATTACTTGCTGGATTTGAATCTGTAGAGTCTAGTTGGAGAGTAAAATATGAGCTATTGGAGAACCTGTCACAAAAAAGAACATACTTGGAGGTGTGTTCGATATAGTTACTGGCTGACTGTGACTTGTTCACCGAGCAAATGCTGCAATGGTAACCTGTTATTTTCAGTCTGAGGAAAAATTACTTCCCCAGCTAACCTTCAGATTTGACAGTACATCTCTGCCACTGTGGTTCACAGTCCAGTGTCTAAACACAAGTCGTGTTACTGTGTCTGCCCGTGGGTATGTCAGCTGAAATGCAGGCATGTGTTGGGCTGGTAGGTCCTGACGGGCAGCGGAGCTGCAGGTGGAGTAGTAATACACTGCTGTAAGACCTTTTGTGTGTCTTGCTCGCTGCTGCCCTAAGATGAGGTGCCGTGCTTGCAGAGCAAGCCAGTGAGCTTGATCTGACCTGGGCTGAACCTGTCAAAGACAATTTCTGCTTCGTTTCAGGGAGTTACTATCTCTGTTCCTGTGTGATTCTGTTTGTGTTTCTTTTTGTGTTCCATCTGCAGGCGGGATATCTCCAACTGATTTATTTGGTTAGCATGCAAAATGGAGCAAGAATATAAGTAGCTATTAGGCTAAGCCTTAGTGTGCTCCCTACGCTCTTTGCTGGCTGAGCAGTCGGGGTGGGAAGGGTTGGCCCCAGGATGGACCTGTGGTGTACTGTGTTGCCATCTGCTGACTCTGTTTCCCCCTTAGCAATCTTTCCCATGGTGTTATCTTTCCTTATGAGCTCTTGAGCTGCTATCCATTCCCCTCTCAACAAACCTACTTCTGTCTAATTACACCTTCCATATCTTGCATGCCTCTGCAGCGTGGACTTCTCACAGCTCTTTCCCAAAACTTCACAATTCCCTCAACAGTCTGAGCTGAGGTGACCCCACTGGGCCAGAGCAAGCCAGGCCTTGGATCACAGGGGGCTGCATGGTTAGGAGGGGAGGAGGTTACAAGGGGAGCACAGGGATCTCTGTTCTTCACCTTAGGGAGGGGGGAAGGAGGTAAAATACTTCCTGCTTCTTGTAACAAACTCTGTTAGGAGAGTAGCCCCACTGACTTGGGGGCAAGGCAGGCTGCTGTGTGGGAGCTCCTATCCCTGATCTCATATCAACATGTGCACTGCAGCTTGCAAGAGAAGGATAGATGAGCTGTTTGGCTTTTTTTGGAGGGAGAAAGGGTCAATCTTTCTCCCTGTGTAACTGTGTCACGACATGGTCCTCTTTCTCCTCTCCTGCGTGTGCTTGCCAGTAGAGGTCACTGACAAAAAGGGAACTGCCTCTTCTGTAGCAGCATGCCCTGGGAGATGATTTAGACCAGGGAAGGGAGGTGTTGTCATCCAGCAGTTTTATGAAAAATCAGGCATTGAGTTTTCACTGACTGACAAAATGTGGCAACAGCATGATCAAAGAGTAGTGTAAACCAGGAAAACCACATATCGTAGTCCAGTTTATGAATAAAACTTGTGCACAGCAATAAAATACTTCCTGCTCTTAGCTTCTCGTGCTCATTGTTCTGGTAGTGAACACAGCTGCAGTCAATGTGGTATGGTTTTATACATAGGCAGTGAAAATTCATTGCTGTCTGTGAGTTTGACTGATGCATGATTCGAACAGTTAACTACTTTCTCCTTAGCTTTCTTGTCGCTCTGCTTGAGCGGTGAGAGGCCTGTATGTTGTACATACAAGTCACTACATAAGTGCAAGTATCTCTGTGTAGGTCAGGTTCTTGTGGCTCTGACCTAAGTAGCCCCTGTGATCTGAGGGACAGCTTCTGTCTGAGCACAGATACTCACCTGGAGTTGTAAGCTGCATTTTTTGATCTGCTGCCTTTTCCTCTGAGGAGGTGGCAAAGGATGGTTCTGCTGTGAGCTGAACGCTGCTCTCTTGCCTCTGCAAATGGTTAAATCCTGTGAGTGCAAGTGTCGGTGTGGGACTGGAAGTACGCTCTTGCTGTGTATGAAGTGTCCTGGCCCTTTTGGATATCAGCTGTTGTCAGCTGATGACACAGGAGACCCTGAAACTGTGGATCAGCCTTTCTTTGTTGCTGATGCCACCGAACTGTGCTGCTCTAGTCATGTCCCAGGTTTTTGGATTAACTTTGAAACCTTAAAATGATGTAGTTCATATTACAGACCCCTTTATTCCCATTCTGCACGGTTGATCTGCCTAGCTGCCATCTACATTTCTGGTTTCATGCTTCTTAACCAGAGCAGATAATGGAGAAAGGGCCCTCAGCGGTGACTTCAATGTAAATCCTCAGCTCTCTTGAATTGGGGGTGTGAGTGATGGCAGGATATAAACTGTGTAAATATTTCATGAGGGAGCCTGAACTGATGGCTATCTTTATCATTAGCTGGGAGAAAGAATGACTTTGTCTTGGTGGTGAATCTCCTGGGGAATGTGCGTGTTGACTTGCACCAGGTTTATGCAAACACTTGAATTGTAAAATGATCCCGTAGGTGCAGTTATTTACTATAAGGAAAATAAATGCTGAAAACTAGATATGAAGGAACAGGATGATCTGCATTTATGAAAGTAATTTGTCACGATCAGACTCTTGCTCCCAGGCGGAAGGATTTAGTTGTTTAAATCCAGTGCATCTCAGTTTGTCACCTCCTCACTTCAGTGGCTATGAGTTTGTGCAATGAGAAGTTTTCTTTTTCAGATGAGTTGAGTTGTCCCTTTAGCCATTTTTTTTTCTCTCGCAGAATGCTGAACTGTGTAAAGTTAGTCTGACACTTTTGTTTTGCACTGATGTAATCTGTTGTCTTGCAGTAATCCCTACCGACACAGGGAAGTGCTTTGGGTTTTTGTCTGAGCTATCCCTATACAAACTAACAAGTTTGAAGGAAACTTTTGTATTTTAGAGTGTTATCACAAATACTTCTTCGATTTACTTGGATCTGAAATGTGCGTAACGGTTTTCAGCATGGATTTTGTGGAGGTCAATGTTGTGTATGAACTCCTCTGCATATGGGAGATAGAATAGCAGGTTCTGCCTCGTGCAATATAGTTAATTTGAAAAGTTTTAGGGTCCAGCATTGATCTTCTGCAGGCATGTATTCCCTCTTATGAGAATCACTAGCTGATAAGACAGATGTGTGGTCACAGGTACCCATAATTCCTTGTTGTCCTGCCTTTTGTGGGATGGCAAAGTGAGGCTGTGAGGGTGAGTATATCTAATAAATGTTTGCTCGCATCTCTGCAGGTGATCTTCATTTAATTTTGCATCCTTCTCCTGTTGCTTGACTTGATGGAAATCAAGGCTGAGTTTTGGTTTACAGCTTTTTTTTTCCCCATATGCTGCAGCTTCATTGCACTTTACAAAGTATCATCCAAGGACTTGAGACAGGTACTGGATTCTTGCAGTCATTTGGATGGGGCAGATGGATTCAGGAGTTCAAGGTGAACGGCAGAACCTCTCTTCCTGGTAGAGTTGTAGCTATTACCCCTTGGAAAAGAGATGAACTTTTAAAGAGCTTCTGAAGGTAAAGGGAGACAGTTCAAGGTGATGGTGCCGTCTGCATGCTGAATCTGAGCACAAAAATTGGAGGCTGGGTGGCAACAGGAAATCATTCAAGTTTATAAAATGAAGGCTGTTACAAAGATGAACTCCACACTTTGTTTACCAAATATCATACTATGTGGTGACGACTACTTCATAGCTGCTAAAATCCAGCCCTTTGTTTTCTGAGTAATTAAATTTTGGGAACAGCAAGTTCTCCAAATCGCTTTTAAGCAGCAGCAGAAGGCAGTGGTGGTTCTTAGTGGATTTAATAACTAAGTGGACTGTTAAGGTCTACAATTGTGGCACAGTTTCCCTGTCCTCTGAAGCTGCTCCCCTGAAATGTATTTATCAGATAACATGTGCAGTCTAATGGGTATGTTTGTGGCCTGCAAGACTGCTATTAATCATAAGGACACCACTTCTTAATGCAGATTATCTCCCACAGCTGGGAGATTGTGATAAACTAGAAAGATCAATCTAGACTTGTTCCCAGGGAATGAAATGGCTTTATTAACCTTCATATTTACAAACTGCAGGCATGAGTAATAGTAATAATAATATCCTAATTTTTTGGACTGGCTGGGAAGTAATCAAATGGGCATATATTGTTGATGCAATTTTAAGATTAATGTTGTTTTCTGAAACAAAAAGTTTAATGATGCTGATAGTCACATTTGCAATGTAAATACAGAGGAGGGGTGTGTGTAAGAGAGCAAGACCGAGGTTACGGGAAACAGAATATGACCCAGAGAGCATGTTCAAGAAGGTTCTGTTTACTTCTCTGTCTGTTTGCCACAGGGGAGGTTTCCTGATCCCTTTTGGCACTCTTCCCTAAAAAGTCATCCTATGTTAGCTATTTACCACTGCTGGGATCGTAAATCACACCACTTGTGACCTTTCCTGAGAGCTCTTTCAGCGTATGACTGCTATGGAAGACCAAACCTTGCTGACACTGGGTGAAGAAACTTTTAGTGAAATTGGCTGGAGTTTTGTTTGAAATGGGGCAGTGAATGTTAAGGTATAAGATTTTCAGATTAAGTGTTGTAAGCAACTTTGTGTAACAGGCAGAAACTTTTTAGAGTATGCAAGAATTGTTAGTCGTAATTTAACTGAATTCAATCAGGCTGGGGTACTTAACTGTCAGATTTAGACATGGCTAAAAATGATGGGCACATTTAGAACTCTCCAAAAATGTTCTCTAACTTTTAATGGGTGAAAGATTCCTATAGGGAAAATGTGCTCTTATCTTCAACAGCTCAGTCTCTGGCCTAGGTTTTGACCTCTGCTACTCTGGCTCAGAATTCAGTGAGATCCTACATTTTAAAATAAGCTTTAAGAGATTCCATTTAACTGCTTGGGGACTCTTCCCAGCATTAAAATTTGGATTTGTCACAGGG